CTATGGGTCTCCATGTAAGTCTATGGTCCTCCGTGTGAGTCTATGAGTCTCTGTGTGAGTCTATGGGTCTCCATGTGAGTCTATGAGTCTCTGCGCGAGTCTATGAGTCTCCATGTGAGTCTATGGGTCTCTGTGTGAGTCTATGGGTCTCTGTGTGAGTCTATGGGTCTCCCTGTGAGTCTATGAGTCTCCATGTGAGTCTATGGGTCTCTGTGTGAGTCTATGAGGCTCCATGTGAGTCTATGGGTCTCTGTGTGAGTCTATGGGTCTCTGTGTGAGTTTATGGGTCTCTGCGTGCGTCTATGGGTCTCTGTATGAGTCTATGGGTCTGCATGTGAGTCTGTGGGTCTCTGTGTGAGTCTATGAGTCTCCATGTGAGTATATGGGTCTCCGTGTGAGTCTACGGTGTCTGCGTGAGTCTATGAGTCTCCATGTGAGTCTATGGGTCTCCATGTAAGTCTATGGTCCTCCGTGTGAGTCTATGAGTCTCTGTGTGAGTCTATGGGTCTCCATGTGAGTCTATGAGTCTCTGTGTGAGTCTATGAGTCTCTGTGTGAGTCTATGGGTCTCTGTGTGAGTCTATGGGTCTCTGTGTGAGTCTATGGGTCTCCGTGTGAGTCTATGAGTCTCCATGTGAGTCTATGGGTCTCTGTGTGAGTCTATGAGGCTCCATGTGAGTCTATGGGTCTCTGTGTGAGTCTATGGGTCTCTGTGTGAGTTTATGGGTCTCTGCGTGCGTCTATGGGTCTCTGTCTGAGTCTATGGTCTCCATGTGAGTCTGTGGGTCTCTGTGTGAGTCTATGAGTCTCCATTTGAGTCTATGGGTCTCCGTGTGAGTCTACGGGTGTCTGCGTGAGTCTATGAGTCTTTGTGTGAGTCTATGGGTCTCTGTGTGAGTCTATGGGTCTCTGTGTAAGTCTATGGTTCTCCGTGTGAGTCGATGGGTCTCAGTGTGAGTCTATCTGTCTCTTTGTGAGTCTATGGGTCTCTGTGTGAGTCGATGGGTCTCAGTGTGAGTCTATCTGTCTCTTTGTGAGTCTATGAGTCTCTGAGTGAGTCTGTGGGTCTCTGTGCGAGTCTATGGGTCTCTGTGTGAGTCTATTGGTCTCTGCGTGAGTCTATGAGCCTCTGTTTGAGTCTATGGGTCTCTGTGTGAGTCTATGGATCTCTGCACGAGTCTATGGCTCTCTGTGTGAGTCTATGGGATCTCTGCGTGAGTCTTTGAGTCTCTGTGTGAGTCTCTCTGTGAGTCTATGGGACTATGTGTGAGTCTATGGGTCTCTGTCTGAGTTTATTGGTCTCCATATGAGTCTATGGGTCTCTGTGTGAGCCTGTGGGTCTCTGTGTGAGTCTATTGGTCTCCATATGAGTCAATGGGTCTCTGCGCGAGTCTATGAGTCTCTGTGTGAGTCTATGGGTCTCTGCGTGAGTCTACGGGTCTCTGTGTGAGTCTATGGGTCTCTGCGCGAGTCTATGGGTCTCCGTGTGAGTCTATGGGTCTCTGTGTGAGTCTATGGGTCTCTGCGTGAGTCTATGGGGGTCTGTGTGAGTCTATGGGTCTCTGTGTGAGTCTATGGGTGTCTGCGCGAGTCTATGGTTCTCTGTGTGAGTCTATGGTTCTCTGTGTGAGTCTATGGTTCTCTGTGTGAGTCTATGAGTCTCTGTGTGAGTCTATGGGTCTCTGTGTGAGTCTATGAGTCTCTGCACGAGTCCATGTGTCTCCGTGTGAGTCTATGGGTCTCCGTGTGAGTCTATGGGTCTCCGTGTGAGTCTATGGGTCTCTGTGTGAGTCTATGGGTCTCAGTGTATGGGTCTCCGTGTGAGTCTATGGGTCTCTGTGTGAATCTATGGGTCTCTGCACGAGTCTATGGATGTCTGTGCGAGTCTATGAGACTCCACGTGAGTCTATGGGGTCTCTCTGTGAGTCTATGGGTCTCTGCGTGAGTCTATGAGTCTCCACGTGAGTCTATGGGTCTCTGTGTTAGTCTATGGGTCTCTGTGTGAGTCTATGGGTCTCTGCGCGAGTCTATGGGTCTCTGCGCGAGTCTATGGGTCTCTGCGTGAGTCTATGGGTCTCTGTGTTAGTCTATGGGTCTCTGTGTGAGTCTATGGGTCTCTGCGCGAGTCTATGGGTCTCTGCGCGAGTCTATGGGTCTCTGCGTGAGTCTATGGGTCTCCGTGTGAGTCTATCAGTGTCCGTGTGAGTCTATGGGCGAGTAGCCCACACAGCTCACAGCTCACAGCAGCAGCTACGAAGCGTTGCGGGCAACCCAAACCAAATAGCCCCCTGCCCCGGAACGTCGGCCTAGTGTCGTGAACACCGAGCCCTCGCTGCTGACCCTCATCAGCCTGGAGATTTTTCTCTATTTCTGCTGCTGCTGCTGCTGGCGGGGGGGAGGGGCGAGGGGAGGTGGGGGGGAGTGGGCAGGGTTAGCGGGACGCGATGGGATGGGATGGTCGGGCGAGTCGAGGTTGGGCGCGATCTGGGCAAGCGTCCGGC